TTGATCATGGACACCTTTGCCGCCCTTGCTTTGGCAACAGACCCTCCTACGCCAACAGTGCTTGACCGCAGACCTGAGTCGAAATCGGATCCGCTCATCACCCTGACAATGTGGAAGATGATCATTGGGCAGTCCATCTATCAGCTGGTTGTCACTTTCGTGCTGAATTTTGCTGGGGATAAGATTTTCTCTTGGGATCACGGCCATCTGCAGACTGTGGTTTTCAACACTTTCGTCTTTATGCAAATTTTCAATCAGTACAACTCCCGTCGTATTGACAACAAGCTCAACATCCTGGAGGGTATTTGGAAGAACCGTTGGTTCATTGGTATTCAGCTCATCATTATTGGAGGTCAAATCTTGATCATCTTTGTTGGTGGCGCTGCTTTCTCCGTCAAGCGTCTTGACCAAGGCTCGCAGTGGGCCGTGAGTCTTGTACTCGGAGCACTCTCCTTGCCAATCGCCGTGGTCATTCGGCTTATTCCGGATGAATTCGCTGCCAAGCTCGTTCCCCACTTCTGGCATCGCAACAAGGGTCCCGAATTGGTCATCTCAGACGAGGACCGCCATTACGAGTGGAATCCCGCTCTGGAAGAAATCCGCGATCAGCTCGCCTTCATCAAGAGTCTCCGTGGCGGTCGTCTGCGACACATCCGCCACAAGCTGCAACACCCTCAGGAACTTCTTCCTCGGTCGCGCAGTGGTTCCCGCTCGCGTGATTCCTCCGCCCCGCCCACGCCGATTGGTGACACTGACAACGACAACGGTAGCCCGACCCCCCAGCCGGCTACCCCGGAGTCTCGCTCCAGACGCAACACACGGTCGCGATCGAACTCGACATTCGGACCCGCCGCTGCTATGGCAGGTATCGTTGCCGGTAGTATTGCCGGATGGTCTCCTATCGAGCGAGGCCACAATGAGCCTGACATCACCTTCCCGACAAACGGTGGCCCTCACAGCGGCCTTGATCGCGAGCAAGGCATTGAGATACACCCGGATACCGCTGCTGATGACCGTATCTTGAACGAGTACTCCGCTACCTCCAAAACTCCCCCGAGCCAGAATCCGGATCTAATTCCGTTCTTTGAGCACGCTCCCCCGGTGGACCGCGCGCCCTCTAGCCGTGGCCGTCGCTCTTTGTCCCAGCGATCGAGGTCGAGTCTCAGTCAATCCCATGTCTAAGCCCATCTCCTTGCCTTTCTTCTACGCCTTTCTTCGACGCCTTTCTTTTTCCTCCCTGATCGTCGGGGTCATCTTTAATTCGCCATGCCCTATTCCCCCGACTCAACTCTACTGCTCTATTCTCGGTGTCTGGAATTGGGTGATCCGGCGCAACGCTGTTGAAAATTAAGCATAGACTCCTCTGTACTTTTGGGTCCATACAATCATTTGCATTTGGGTTCGGTGGCCAGGATGGCTTTTTTTTTTGGATATCTCTCGGCGCATACAAGGGCTCGGTGCCATATAGCATTTTCCTTCTCTCTTCTATTCTCTCACTGTGCCTGACTGTAAAATTCACAAAGATTTTGAAGATACCACTCTTTCCCCTTCTTTCTTTCATTGTAAAATACCCTCTAGACTTACAATGGACATACATTCTACATTCACATCATGTAATGCTTTTTGGAAGGTATTTCCACTGCTTTTCACTTCTGAAGACAGACTTCCAGTCATAACAGAGAAGAGATAACTATACAAAGGTAGGCGGTGTAATTCTGCCGAAAAGTGAGGTTATATTGAACTTGCAGGGTACTCCTTTCGCCCTTCGGGGCATATGGTCAACTGAAAATATACAGAGAAGATTAGCATGGCCCCTGCACTAAGGATGACACGCTTAATCAAAGAGAAGCTACCTATTTTTTTTTTTCCTTAGACGTCCAAATTTGAGGTTATACGATGCGGGTCTTTTTATGGCGTTTTGATTGGTACTACGATATTGAGAAGTCACGTGAGACATTGACCAATAATGTCGGATGTTCGAGCCCCACACTGCGAGAAAGCGGGTCTTTATGTAGGTAATTGGCCAACCAAAGTGGAGTATATTTTACCACTATACCTTGGTTTCTCTCTGGGTTTGATGCTATAGCGAGCTTGAAAGACAGTCATTTTGCCCTTTAGGGTATATGATTTAGAATAAAAATACACAAAGCAGATAGGTGAAGCTGCTGGACTAGGGATGACGTGTCTCAATCAAAGAGAGGCTAGTGGAGCAATGCAAGTAAAGTACTATCAAAAGCATTCAAGCACGATGCCGATAATTACATCAATGTTACATACGGAGAAGATGGTTTGCACATCTTACACCTTTCTTACTATATTCTATATTATGTGGCCAATTCGTCTTCTTATCCTCTTAGCTACAACCCCATCATGGAAGCAGATACTCAAGAAAGGAATAGAAAGACCACCTAACTCTTTTTGACTAGACTGCTTGATCGGCTCCCTTATTCTTGTATCGATATACAACAAAAGGAAAAGCTGGAAGCAGAAGAAAAAGAAAGAAGGAAAAATGACAAGTCATAACTGGCCGCTGTGTTCTCCTACTGGAAGCGAGCTTGACGCGAATATCTCTCTCATCTCGTAACTCGTGGGCAGTATTGTGTTGGCTGCAAGTTCCGCGTATCAACTAGTGGTGATCTCAAGAGAGAGTTTGGGTCACTAGGACACACTCTGCACAGTGTGTACAGTTGGAAAGATCCCAACTTCTTACAAAAGGTCGTTGTGCTCGGCAGAAATTTGGGGGTCACCCTCACTTTCGAGAGGTAGGCAATTTCTGCACATAACAAATTGGCGACGCCGTTATAGATATTGTTAGCTGCTCCTGGGCGGGCTCCATGTTTTGTCAAATGTTGGAGGTTGATGATAGCAGAAAGTGGAGCAGAATGGGGTCCTGAAGGGGGGTGGGTCGTGGCTTCCCTGTCCCACTTGGGCAGTCACGTGTCGAGCGGGTACTCGATGTATATAGAAGCTTATAAGCTAGATGCGCGTTATATTGGTATATTTACTATATATACCAAATAGATAAATCAGAGTAGAAGGACAGTGTAAAATATCTTGCGCTGCCAGCTCTACTGGCTCCTGTCTCGGAGCACGGTTGACCGTGAAGTCTGAGCACATGTATGATGCCGAAGGTAGATAGGGCAAACCCAGGCTCTCACGAGCTTCAAGCGGTAATAATCCGACCTCATTGTGTTTTCGTATATATTTACTGATAACTACTAGTGTAAGGAATGCAGGGTTTGTGAGATTCTTGACAATATGCATGATCAGCTGATGACGATGAGCTTCACAGAAACGCAAAAGCAAGGTAAGAGAGGTGATCATATCAATTCAAACTAGGGTCACTGACGTCCGAAAAAGTGCTCTGGGTCTTCACCGTGCACTTACTGCGCTCGTACTAGCAAGATTTGTGAATTCAGCCCTGCTCCATCCCGAACCCCCTTGACGAGAAGGTAGGCATTCACATAATCCTTTTTTTCGCCACTAGGTTCATATCTCATAGAAACCTTGATGCCGCTGAAGCTCGTTGTTCAGCCTTACTATCTATCATCCAGAGAATCAGCCCCGATCTTGATGTTGAAGGTGCACTGAACGGACCCGTGGGCAGTTTAGACCCATATTCACTGGGATGTTTTAACACACCTCATGGCTTGAATTCAGACATCGAGAGCACGAGATTGCCGGATAGACTCGAGTGGCAAGAATCATGCTTGAATTCTCCCTCTGGACAGCACAAAAGTCCGTTAGATGGAATGGTATCACTACCAGCGGGTGGAACGGAGTTAGGTTATTTGGGTTAGTATACAGAAGCAAAATCAAGCCTAAAATGCCTCTATTGACATATAAAAGGGAATAACTCTGATACCACCATTCTTCGGGCCATCTCGGATTTGATCCCAGAACCCACAAGCCTACTACCTGGCCAACAAGAAAATATGTCGCGCACCAAAATCACTCAGGCTAGCAGCCCTAGGCTATCGATACACCTTGCAAATATAGCCGCTTTGGATAATCTTGTTGATGCATACTTCATGAGGTATAATCACTCATATCCAGTCTTGCATGAAGCAACATTTCGAGAGAAGTACCAACTTCGCCACAAGATCCATCCGCGATCAAGCTGGCATCCAATAATTTTCCTTGTCCTCGCAATTGGTGATTGAATTTTGACAGAAGGTTCAAAGGAAGAGCAATCCGGATATTATACTGCCGCACGATCATGCATGTCAATGCGCATGCTAGAGTCAGGCACACTGCTCAACGTTCAAGCTTTCTTACTGATGGTTAGCTCCCTACGCCGAGATCTATCATTTGCACGTCGCTGATCTAGCTCAAGGACAACTATCTCCAGAAACGAGATGGGCCAAATACAGGATACAACTTCATTGGTATTTCGTATAGGATGGCTCTAGGCCTGGGCCTTCATCGCGAACCCATTGGGGGAGCGGCCGCAGATACCTTGTACAATGAAAGACGAAGGGTAGTATGGTGGATTTTGTATTGCTTCGAGAGTGGCCTTAGCCTGACGACGGGGAGGCCGCTAACTATATCCGACTCTTTTATTGAGACACACTTGCCGCGAAACATCGATGATTCTGTATGTTTTCGCGTGCTCTACGGTGTATTGTTAAAACCATTAACATTATTCTGCAGACTTGCAATTTGGGTCTCATCTACCCCCGCCTATACAACAACCTACGGTCTATTCAGCTACAATCGCTCAGGCGCGACTGGCGTCTATTGGAAATAATGTTTTCCGTGAATTGATTTCTTCCACGAATAAAACATCTTGGGATCTCAAACTCAGCCGCTCTATCAATTGCCAATTCAAAGCATGGAAGTTATCCTTGCCCTCCTACTTTACAGCTCAAGATGTTCCCAGTTGGTTTCGAGGGCCACGTCCTATCATCATTTGGGAAGAACAGAATCTACGAATGATGATGTGGTGGGCAAGTCAGCGCGCGTGCAATCTGCCTTCGGACAGAGAAGAAGCCCAAAGCATGTGTCATTTCGCCGCAGTTGAAACAATTCAGGAGATCACTAACTTGAGACACGACAATCCTGAAATCTTTCACACTGGTCTTAGCTGGTACGCGACGTACTTTCTCTTCCAGGCAACTGTTGTTCTCAGCATCCACCATCTTCGTCCATCTCAGCCCATTGATGCCAGTTTGGTCGAAGCCAGCGAGGAGCTATGGATTTCATCCATCTCGAGAGCTCGGGAGTGTCTAGAATTTCTGAGCAGTCGCAATAAATCTGCAAATCGGTGCCTAGCGGTACTAGATCGAATAAGGGATCGATCCCGATACTCGCAAGCAATCTCAACAGCTCAGTCTGACCGCGAGACTGGCTCCCTGCAATTTGAAGTCCACTCTGTGGGCCCAGAGATGCATTCTGCGCCTTTGGCTATTGATCCTACACTGCAGATGTTCTTCAATAACTCGGCATGGGACAATGATATGTTTGAAGGACTTAGTGGATTTCCTGGCACTGGCGAGGTTGAGCCATTTGATTATCTTCCGATCAACAATGATCCAGGATGGCCAAGGTCTTAGGTTTTTACTGAAACAGTAGTGAATAGAGGTTTCGACTACTCCTGGTTCTAGGTCAGAGAGAGAGATAGAATGGGACAGGTTGAGATCCAGCTTGTGGTTGAGAATGTTGGCAAATTGCAACCAGCGTAAGGTTAATATGTGGACCATTCCATTAAATAGAAGCAGCTCTGACTTGACAAGATATCCACTTAGTACACAGGGAGCTTGTATGCATCCAAATCATAACTAAAGCTATCAATCGATTCCTGGTCATGAACACATTGGAACTTCTTACCGTTCGATGTCCAAAGTGGGCGAAGAGGCCAGCGACACATAGTTTCAATATCACCAGACCCAGCAAGTGTCGCCGGCGCCTTGCCATTCTCAACCCACTCGATGAGAGTCTGCAGAGTTGTCTGTGGCCATGGGGCACCAGGTTGGTACTCGTTAGTGCCACAGTGCCCCACACCGGGAATGAGGAACAGACGATAAAAGTCATCGAGAGCAGCTGCACCTGCAGTGTATGACTTGTTGGGGAACATGACCTCCCTGACCGAGTTCCAGTAACGGACTGAAGAAGCGGTGGGGATTGAATAATCTTGCTCTCCGTGGACATGGATAACTTTTCCACCGGCGGCTTGGAAGTCCGACAAGTCTGGGTATGTTGTCTGGAAGATGTCTCCGTACTTCTTTTGAGAGAGTATCATCCATTCTTTGAGAGTATCATAGGTCACGCCATCCAAAGTGGGAATGTTGGTCTCCTGCAAAAGATCAATGAACAAGCCAATCCACATGCCACCGAGCCCGCTGATGTCAAGCTTCCAGCTGTCGGTAGATGAATCATATGTGCCTTGAAGATCATCAAAAGTTGATCCAGGCTGGTAGCTGAAGTAGACCCGTTTGCCGTCAGAATCGTGAAGACCCTCCCAGAACGCCTTGATGACTTCGATGGCTTTGGCAGATACCTTTCCTGTCTGTGCAGGTGTGGCACCCGCGAAGGCAGAGCCACTGACGGCAGGGCACGAGTAAGAAGCACCCAGGATGGAATCCCAGTTTAGATGCTTCAAACACATATCGGAGCGTGATACAATACCGTCAGTCTTGCCATCCAAGGGATCGCAGCTTGCGACGGTCATGTTCATAATCTTCTCGAGCTCACAGCTGGGCGAGTAGTAGTTGAGGTTTTTCTGGATGACGTTGCCGGTCAAATGGTTGGTTTGCTGTTGTGCCCACCGGAAGGCTGGTGCACCGGCAACTACGCCGTCGAACTGATCGGGGAACCGTTGAACCTGGCTCCATCCCCCACGACCTCCTTCAGAACAACCCTGATAGTAGGAGTAAATCTTTTCGTTGGACGGTACATTGTAAATATTTCTTGTCAACTGTTTGCCTAAAATAGCGAGCTCATGCTGAGCTTGGTAGCCTGTTTCTTATGTTAGCTGGCTCATCAGCTGTGAGTTTGGGAAGTATAAGGTCTCACCAAACATATACGTTGCTTGCCAATTGATAGTTCCATTTTCCAAGAGAGCAACAGAACTAAATTCGGTGGTGAAGCTTCCAAATCCTCCATCGGTTAAACCACCAACGCTTTACACAATGTGTTAGTTAAACTATCCATGCTACCGAAAAGTAAACGAGGGAATGCTTACCCGCCAACGATGACACCAGTAGGGATCGATGAGGATCCTGAATTGATAGCCCAACCACCTCCACCTGTGGAAACATATCTGTTCTTAAACTTCCCTGGAGCTGGGAGCCAGTATTGCACATGAACAATATCCCCGTCAATGCCGTCATGAGAGTAGGCAAAAGTCACATTGCAGTAATCGAAGGTGGAGGTAGGGTAGAAGATACTGCTGGCGGTGAAATTGGTGACAAGACTAGTGGAAATCGAGGAGGGATCAACGGTAACTCCCTGAATAGCATCTATCGGCAACGCCTTCTTCGCATATGCGGTGGTACAGATGTCACTCAGTGAAGTAGTTGTGGCGGCAGCCGAGGCCAGCACAAGAGAATAGGCCCATAGAGAATACCGCATGATGCTCTGCACTCTCTCAACTATTTGAAGGGAGATCTAGAGGAAGCTCAGACAGAGGGAATGGAATCCTTTTATGTATAGCAGTCACAAGCGATCTTAAGACCGGAATAATCTCGGGGGTTCGCACTGGGGTAAATATTATGCCGCTTCTCTCCACAGACCTGTGGGGAAGCTGGGGTAATATTCATCTTTCCACGAATACAAATGATTCTTGGATTCTTCAGGGGAGTCTATTCTAACTTTTCTTCTATCACAAGCTTGCTACTCCACAAATCTCCGCCCCAGGCGTGTCGGATCGGGTGACCCCCGAGGTGTCTAGGTCAGTCCATCTAGCAACGCAGTCAGTACTCCAGTCGTATACTCCCTAGGCTGTTATGATATCACCCAATACACAGAGTATGAAGCTCTGCGAAGAGGATATCTGTCCTATTATCTATTTCGAGTGTTTATGCTCTTTCATTTGTCGAAAATTTGGCAGGATTATGCAGGGTTTATAGTGGATCAGGACTAGAGTAAAAGACCCAACCACATACTAGAAGTGGTCGCTATACACTAGTTCATAAACGGAAGATATCCCCGAGGCCCGAAATTGCAGGCATACTCTACCAGGCTCTCATACCGCATCCCCTCGCCCGAACCCAAACATCCACAATCCGAGAGGTCTCAGTGTCTTGATCCGAATCAACAACAAAATACCACCCATAAAAGGCACCAGTGACACAAGCATGATTTGGGTGCACTTTAACCACTTGTCCAATTCGCAGGGGAATCTTTGCCTGGGACTCACTCTCCCAAGTCACAATCGCATGCTCCTGACTGATCCTCTTAACAACTAATCTCTCCGATGAAGCTTTAGTCACCCCATCCAGTTGCCAAGAAGAAACAACCCCCCAGCCCGAGTAACTCGGACACGGCTCTCGACCCAGTGCGAGCGTCCCTGCAGCCAGGAGTGCCTCGGGCTTTTCTCGCTCGCCATCGTTATACACGCTGCACACTTCGGTAAGCACCGCGATAGCAATTTCATCCTCCAAAAATCCAGCATCAGCGCTAGCATTTGTGGAAAATTGTTGCATGTCCAGGATGGGATAGACGCCAGCATGTAGCTCGACATTTGTCTCGCGAAGCAAAGCCTTGAGCTCCCGCGCTTCCGCGTAGGGAGAGTCATCACGCAGCAAATTCTGGGACGAAACTACCTGCGGCGTGGCACCGACGCTGATGATCAGTTCCCTTTTGGGCAGTAGATGCAAATTTGTCTCCAAGGCATCTTTGCATCCGCGGATCTCACTGATCAAATGACCCATCGCTTGCTCGGGGGTTGTCCCACTATAACTCAGACTGCTGTGTGAGTACAACCCGAGGAGTCTTGCCCCGCCTATTTCCTCTGCGGAGGCAAGTTTCTCGAGTAGGCCGTTCTTGTTGAGGGATACGGGCGGCAAGCCGGCGCGGTGGTAGCCCGTGTCAACCTTGACAAAGACACAGGTTGGATGTCCTGCTAGAGAAGATAGTTTCTCCAGGTATGGGAGTTGATCTGGGTGGTCGATCATCACAGTGATGCTGTTCTCGCCTAGCTCGCGGGCTGCCTTGGCTAGGAGTGGAACCTGTGATGGGACGAGGGGGATGCCGTAGAGAATGTTAATTTTGCGGCCTTTTTGTTTCAGATTCTGAAGCAGTGGGATCATCATCTCGATCTCCATGACGGTAGAGGCTATGAAATTGGCCTCAGTGCTGTCGCCGACTTGGAGCTTGGCGATTTCGGGTGTCTGATGTTCGTAAGTTGAGTTTAATCGCACAGAGAATGTGGTACTTGAGGTCTCTTACCTTGTGAGATTTAACATGAACTCTGAATCCGACACCAAGCGTTTTGATTGTGCGCAGCATTGTCTCGCAGTGTCGTCGGATGATTGCTACGTCGAGGACGGCGGCTGGTTTGGGTACATCACTGATATCCTTGCCGATGTAGAACTGCTGCAGGTCTTCCTGAGAGGGGGTTATGGATGCCATTTTGAATTACGCAGCAGGTTACTAGGAATTATGAAATGGAAGTTGGATATTTGTATTCTCCCCTCGTTTTGCACCCCAATAAGAAATGTGGGGCGGAGGATGTCAAGTCCGACTGCGCCGTCCACCAACATCCACCCTCTATTATCCCTGTCCTCCCTTAGATATTCTCTGAGTTCACTCCTCCATTTCTCCAAATCCAATTGGTGTAGCCTCGGCCTTAGACCTGACTACTGCTGCCATTTCCCTCCTGGTTCGAGTTCTCCGTGTCTAAGTCATCATTAGAGACGAAGGCTCTGGTGTCAATTGGGTGGACTGGAAGATATGATACCTGAAGTTCGCACAATACAAAATTGTGCCGCAGCCACAGGTTGAACTCTGTGGCGAACAGAGCTAGTGACCATCCCACTCCGGAGCACGTATTCAATGCTCGATCGCCGCATCAGGTGGGATGCTTGCATAGCCCCCAAAGCTGCGACCCACTGACTGTAGGTACGAACAATACCTATCTCAGGCTGGAGGCTTTGGATATCATTCGGGCCGATCTGGGCAGCGTCCAAAGCAAGGCGTTCGGAGAGAGAAGGTATCTGGTAGTGGATCTCATCAAGATACGGATCGTACTGAAAGTGGGCTTCTAGGTCAGCAAGGAACGCAGGGAAGTCCATGAAGATGGCCCCATTGGTCCCATTGGGGGGGATGAAGTAGGTGCCAGTCCAAAAAATGGCCGCGTCGTTTCTGTTCGCAGGTCGGCGCACGACGATCATGCCATCGCGGATTCTAGGTCGGAAGATGGACGGCGGGGAAGTCTGAACTTGGTCGGTGGAAGCCATTTTAAGCTCAGTATCGATGAGGATGCTGTGAAGGTCAAAGGAAATCCAACTGAAGCAGAAGTCAAACGAGATAAGCAAGCAGGTAAAGCTCGGATTGAGGGGCAGTCAAAACAAACTGGGATCAGAACGATGGTCCTCGAGTTCTGAAATGTAGCTGTGAGAGTACGCACCTCAACGACACGTTTAGAACGTTTGATTGTGTATATTGGATCTTACAAAGGAGAAATGGCATTGATCGACCCCAGATTTTGATTTCATCGATTCGAGGTAGCTAAATATCTCCCTCGACTTTTCTCTTCGTCCGAGCATCCATCGCATCCATCCAAAACCCCCGGGCTCCCTATCCCTGGCACCGGTTCAAGATCCATTCTGCTACAATTCTTCTCCCATCAAATGCTAGGATCCTTGGAAAGAAATCTTCTCTGTCCTGCAGCGGTATCTTCGCCGCCCATCTAGGCTCACTCATTATTGCAGTGTGAACCTGTGTTTTTATGTGGAATCGATGGTTAGCTGACGCATTCTTCAATCAGAAACAGGAGTCACGTACCTCTTTTACACGATAGTGAAGCGAGCTGTCATGATAGGAGAACTTGCAGTGGCGGTAGGCTGGACACCAGAGTTGACCAGGCCGGAGCAAGCATATTGCATGGCAAAAAGAGCAGCCACCCAGGTGTTGTATGTTCTGACCGAATAAGCCGGAGGCTCCTCGGAGTTTACCCGAGGCTGAGAAGGACTGTTGTGATCCCATCGAAGATCGTCTTCGTGAGAGTCGTAACTCAGGTGATCCATCAGGTCCTGTTCGAAATCATCATAGCTCAGCATGGTGTGGTCGAAAGTTCCGTCTGCGTTGATGCGTGTTTTGTCGTCTAAGTAGCCTCCAAGCCAGAAGACAGCTGACTGGTCACCTTCGAAACGGGTCACTTCAATGAGACAGTCGTGCATTTTGAGTTCTCGTGGACTAGTAGACGGCAGGACGGGGACATTTGTGGTACCCATCTTAGATGATGACTTAACTGGAGAGTTCGAGGCTTGAAAAAAAGAAATAGACGATGAGACCAGGGTAATGGTATGGGTTTGACACGAGTCAGAATGGGTAATAAAGAGCGGAGAAGAGCGAAGAGTGGAAATCAAAGACATGGAAGTCGAGGTCTGATAGTTCGGGTTGCTCTTTCCTAAAAATTCCACGTCCACTGTGATACGTACATGAGGATATCTCTATTCTTTCTCGTTCCCCTTCTTGCGCTTCCTTTGAATCTCTTCAACTGAACACTTGACGTCCTCATCTTGTGGTTCCTGTTTCCCTTCGTTGATTTGCAAAGAAGGAAGCTTTCTGTGTAATTCTATAGGTTCCGTCAGATTCATATTTGTTGATTTATTTCTAGATACGTTCATCTCGTACCAAATTCGCTCTTAGTCACAATAAAGAAGAAAGAGGTCAGTCCTATCCCCGGTACTGATTCTTTATTTTGCATGGCTATCAAAGCAGCTAGCCAACCATTTCGATTTCTAACGGCATATTCACAGTCTAATATGTTAACAAAATTGCGGGGATCCCACACAAGCACATTAGTTTCATGGCTGTAGTCAAAATGGGACCGCAGGTCTTCGAAAAACAGGTCATAATCGAGCTCTAAACCCATATCAAGAAGCGGTATGCATCCATTCCTAATAATCCACTCCCAATACCATAGTGGTGGACCTTGATAAGTCCATCCCGGAGGTAAAGTCTGGTGCTGTACACCGTTTCCTTTTGATTCTGCTTGGTTGCTACTGGCAACCCTACCTGAGCTAGTGGTTGAGGTGCTGGTTGGGGTGCTAGTGAGGATGGTGGGGGGTTTCCAGGGGAAGGTTGACTTTTTTTTGATCAAATTTTGCTTTGAAGTCATGGCTAGAGATATATTGACATGGTAAGAGGAGATGTAGGATTTCACAAGTGTTGTTGTGGAAGCTGAGTGATGGGTAAAGGGTGTTGTCTGATGTTTAATGGATCTGTGATATTTATATCTAAGATGTCTTCACTAATGGTCGGCAGTTTATGCGGCCTTTGTTCTTTTCAGGTGGTCCTTTGAGGTGTTCTTTTTGGATGTATATAAAGACGGTAAAAAGCATAAACTGTAAATAAGACTTTTTTATATATACTTTGATTCAAAACATCAGACTGAGTGAATATGTCCTGTGTTTAAAGGTTGCATTATTCGTTTGCATGATGTCAAGAAATCAGATCATAAATTGAAATACGATTAAACTCTAGAAGGTAACTGCCTTGAACCAGAAGAGCTATAGAAATAGCTATAAACCTCAGCTCTGTCAATTTTCTTTTTTCTTTTGGAAATACTCCGCGTAAATATTCCCCTGATAGCATCTCGAATTGGGAAGCCCCAGGTAGATAGCTATAGAAAATATTAGTAGCGCCAGTATACTGGGTATAACGAGCCATGTTAGCAATAAACCCCAGACTCTGGAAAACTCGACCCCTTTCTAACGAATTAGCATTTTGAACACGTTTCATCTACACCTAGAAAGCTAGGAGAGTTCGCCTTCACAGATCCGCATCACGGCTTGTGGGTCAGGAGAGAAGGGAGAAAAGCTTGGCTGAAGTTATAGGAAATGATCTGAGCTAGAGACTTGAGCTACGTGATATCACATAATTTGGAATTTCATTCGTGTAGGTCTTCCGAAGCGAACACAGAGGACCGTGAGAGAAGTTGAGATGAAGGGGGGCTTACTCCGGCAAAGAGTATGTAGCACCATTCAAGCCTTCATAGTAACCCCTGTACAATGTACCAATCAGCTCGTGGTCAGGTAGTCTACAGCGATGCCGAGGACAACCGAACAGTGAGAAACTCTCTATATATAGTAATCAAGCTAAGTAATGAGTGGCTTAATAAATTTAAACATAAATCAGAGCTATTTAATGAAAACCCCTTTCCTTAGACCTTCTTTTCCCCGGAGGTAGAGCAAATGATCACTGAAAATGCCACGGGAAGTATTCGTCCCGCATCAATCACGGGTGAAGAATACATTTCTCGCGGAAGTTGCTCAACGGAACTTTAGGTTGATCATCACCCTCCTCTACTTTGCGCCCTCTCCCCAAACCTGAGCATCGTATAGAATCGTGGGCTAATACATACTCCTTGCGTCGACAACATTCCAGAGCATGCATATTCGGAGCTTTCCAGCATGCCACTTACCCTATAGGGAAATGTATCGCGGATCACAGGGGTCGGCGGGACTTTTATTTTTCATGGTGTGGCTGTCATGGGTCTATCCCTACCCTTAATAGTATCATGAGGACGTCAAAGACCCACCGAGTATGTGTGTGGGTGGGTGTCTTGGTGGATGGGACAATATTGCTCGATGAGGTTCCTTCCCCCACTTAGATGTTGGGATAAAGCTGGGTAGCTTTCATTTCTCTCCACCAGAAGATCGATGAGCTATGATCTGCAGAGCGTGTTCCTTCACGGGTGTATTGCAATGGTTCTAATTCCAGTGCTCATCATTGGATGCGTCTGCGAGCTGCTCGGTTGGTGCCTTGATTGCTGAGGAATGCGTATGTATCCAGTCTCCCCTCGGGTCGTTACACCGTCTTACTGGGTAGACAGGGTGATGTCAGTGTTCAACGGCCTAGCAATAGTGCACTGGCCCCGGGTGCTTTTTCCCTTATATCTATCATGCCAAAGCTCCCCCCCTCCGTCACGTTTTATATGAACGGCCTATTTCCCTCTCCTTTTATGACTTGTATAGCTGTGGATATACGACTTCCAATCTATACGCCAGACTGCTCGACATTTATTTGTCTATTGGTGGATTCGGATTGAACGTTTCTGTTCACGAGCAGCTTAATCCCGCATAGCTCACTCAAACGTCATTCGAAATATCCGAGAATGAAGCCCGACGATGTCGAAAAAGCCCACAGTTCGCCTACTCTTGGGAGTCCGAGTCAGTTTCACCTCGACAAAAGCGCCTCCAACAGCTCCTCTGAAGACTCAGACCTCGCAAAGCCTGACCCCGTGCTACAATCAAGATGTCAACGATGGATTGCGAGCTTGAAAAATGTGGAGAGCCGCGGCATCGAGCCCATTCCTATCGAAAATCGAGAGCCAATAACGTCTTCAACCGTACTCCATATGCTGTTAATGTGGTTTAGCATGACATTGGCTACAAATAACATCATTGTTGGATCAATGGGTACCCTCGTGTTAGGCCTCAGCTTCAAGGATGCGGCTCTTTGTGCTGTATTTGGATGTTTAGCCGGCAATTGCATCATTGGCTTTATAAGTATATGGGGACCGAAAAGCGGGAACCGAACTTTGGTATGTTTATATCGAAGCATCCGTGTTTTTTTTCTGCATGAAAGGAGAAGGTACTATTCAGAGATCGAAGGGTTGCTCATGAATTTGATAGATCGTGGCCCGATATTTCATGGGTTATTTCCCCAGCAAAGTTTGCATTATCCTGAACCTCTTTACCAATATCGGCTATAGCATGGTAAACAGCGTTGTCGGTGGCCAGATTCTGTCTGTGGTCTCTGGTGGCCATCTTTCCGTGATAGTGGGCATCATCATTATCGCCGTTTCCAGTTGGGCAATGGCCCTGTTTGGCATGAAAATCTTCCAATTATATGAACGGTAAGTATTCTCACCCTAGAATACCTTAAATGCATATTCTAATTAATATCAGAGTTGCATGGTTGCCACAGCTGCTGGTGATATGTGTGATGGTGGGTTCAGCAGGGCCTAATATCGACTTCAACATCCAGACACCGATGTCGACAGAACAATTAATCGCCAAAAGACTGACCTTCTTCTCCCTGGCATTGTCCATTGCTCTCGCCTGGGCCCCGCTCGCCGCCGATTACTATGTCTATCTCCCGCCGCAGATGAAGAGCTCCCGGATATTCCTGGCCACAGTCATCGCCGCCACCACTGCCATGTCAATTGTTCTCCTTATGGGCATCGGCCTTGGAACTGTCATTGCCAGCTCGGCACATTTCGCGGCCAAGTACGGCAGCAGTCCTGGAGGTGTGCTGATGACAGCATACGACGGTCTCGGAGGGTTCGGGAAATTCTGTGCTGTTATCAATGTCCTCGCCTTGGTTGCCAATAATACTCCCGGGGCGTACTCCATGGGAATGAACTTCCAGATGATTGGCGGAGTATTTGGAAAGGTTCCCCGACCGGTATTCACGACTCTCGCTACGGTTATCTATGCCGCATGCGCGATGGGAGGCCGGGACCAGCTATACCAGATCTTCAAGTCTTTCCTGCCTTTGATTGGATACTGGGTCATGATGTTCGTCGTGATTGTCTTCGAAGAACACATGATTTTCCGCCGGAGAAGAGGCTATGACTGGTCTCAGTGGAACTGTCGCGATAAGCTGCCTTTGGGAATTGCAGCGGGAGTTGCTTTCCTTATTGGCTGGGCTGGTGCAATTGTCGGCATGGTAAGACCATTATGCTCAAATCCAGTTAATTACGTCCTGCTAATACTTGGATTTAGTCTCAAGCGTATTATATCGGCCCCATCGCGCAGATGGCTGCCGAAGCTGATCTAGGTCTCTGGTTGGGTGCAGGTTTCACTGGGATATTTTTCCCGCCGTTACGGGCATTGGAGCTCAAATTCATTGGTCGCTAGTGGTGTGCCACTCTTTTTACGCGTTGGCATAATGATCTGCCACGAAGTGTGGAGGCAGAACATTTTATATCCCCTCAACATAAACCCAGAGAGTACATAGCGATAGCATAGGAACTGTAAAGAGCCGATGTGGTCGTGTCAGGCTGTGCCTATAATCAAAATAATTTCAATATAATTGTTTAAATAATGCAAAGTTATAATAATTATGGATCCTAGGTCTATGATTCGTCGGCTTAAGCATAAACGCTATAGTGCTTACGGGGCGTGACCGCATGCATGTGCATCTCCAACCGAGAACGCCACCGGTACTTCCCCCAATGTAGATTTAGGATTACATTGTTGTAGTGCGATGATACTGTGGCTTGAGGTCCTAGTGCACATATACAACATAACAGTCGGATAGCCCGGGAATGTGGATGTTCATGCTCGTTTCCAGATCCCCGAGGCTCGGTATTTGGGGTACCCCGCGTTTGAAGTTATCCAATTATATTCTCGATATTGGACGGAGTACGGGGTACATAGACATAATTAATGCATGCATCTCTAAGGGTACAATGAGATATGCGGGGGTGTTATGTACAGGTCACACAAGAAAGTCAACCTCACCGCACAACTGCCGTTCATAAACATTGTGGAGATCGTAAACGGACCTGTCCCGTGGATCATCGCCAGCACCCCAATCTTATTTAAACCTCGTGGAATCCCCCTTATTGAGGTCCTCGTCTCCAAAATATCACTTCCATATGAATTACACCAACTCCTGGGCTTCGCCGCTACCTTCAGGGGACATGACGACCCAGTTACTACCCTACGCCGTAGGCCTCCTCCTCGCCTGGCCGGTGGTAACAACAACCCTGCGGTTCCAGCGCCTGCGCAAGCTTCACAAGCAATATGCTTACACAACGCGGGAGTCAATGTCCAAGATGACCGACGAAGAAGCCTTCCAAATTCAAAAACAAGTCGCGCAGCTCGAGTTCCCACTCATGTTCATCAAGAGCTTACAATTCGCTTTATTCCGGGTATGAAACAACAACTCTCACATAATTGTGTCATCCATACCCTGCCGATTTATGCATGAATTTTCTAACTAAAAACAGACCTACGGCATCCCCTCAATATCCACACTCCTCGCAAAAACAAGCCAATTCTCTAGCCCAGAAACTTCCTTCAAGCGGTACACAGATACCAGCGTCCTCGTACAAGAAATGGTTGGCAACAACCCAACTTCCGCACGCGCATACCTCGGTCTTGCCCGGACGCGCTACCTGCACAGTGGATACAGGGCCTCTGGTAAGATCCTGGATGACGATATGCTCTTCACGCTGGCGCTGTTCGCACTGCAGCCCATTCGGTTCATCAATCGCTATGAGTGGCGCCAGTTGAGTGACCTAGAGCGCTGTGCTATAGGGACTTTCTGGAAGAGTGTAGGCGATGGACTTGAAATTAGCTATGAGAAGCTGCCATCTGGTAAGACCGGGTTCCGGGATGGAATTCAGTGGCTCGAGGAGATCGATGCTTGGAGCGAGGAGTATGAGGCGAAGTTTATGGTACCTGATGCTAAGAATCGTGAGACCGCGGATCAGACCACTGCTGTGCTGGTTTATATGCTGCCTAAGATGTTGCATCCAGTTGGCTTGCAGTTCGTTTCGTTTATGATGGATGACAGGCTTAGGAAGGCGATGTAGTAAGTTGCAACGCTATATAGGTGGATTTGGACTGATCATCAACGCACCTACTAATCCCCTGCTAAACAGCTACGACCCTCCTTCGGCATTCTACTCAGCGCTCTTGTCAACCATCCTCACAGCCCGCAAGCTATTCCTCCGCTACCTAGCTCTACCACGACCGTACTTCCTGCGCTTCGCCTCGTTCACCGAGGAGCCGGATCAAAACAACCGCTTCTTCCTCATCCAGTGGGAGGCCGCGCCGTACTATGTCAAGCCCACGTTCTGGAACCGCTGGGGCCCGATGGCTTGGCTGACTTGGGCTCTAGGGCGGCCTGTGCCTGGTGATGAGGGGGATAAGTATTATCCCACTGGATATAGTGTCCCGGATGTTGGACCGAAGTATTTTGAGGGAAAGGGAAGGAAGCAGTTGGATGAGACTCTGTTGGAGTTGAAGGAGTATCGGACTGGGAAATGCCCTTTTCATTAAACTGTAGAAAGGCGAGGGATTGGAGGTGATGAGATGGGTATATCCATGGAATAAAGCTGTAGCATTGCATTCCAACGAAATGAGGAAGATATTTTGTTATCCTACGTGAGATTGTCACAACCTAGGCATTTTAAGCCATAAATCAAGCATACTGGCCATGAAGATGTTGCAGCACCAATATTGACATTCAATACTACAATTAACACGAGTTAAAAGGCTATGAGAAAATCATTTCGTCACTTTCTTTTCCACTATGTGCTATTCTGGAGGGGTCGAACAAATCACCCAAGCCGAGCAGAAAAATAGACAAAAAAGGGTGTAAATTAGGAGCGCTCAAACAAATTGGGTTCGGGGCTTGCGCCCACAAAGCCGGTCCGAATGGTAGAGAATGTAGGCTTGACAAGGGACAAGGGTATTACTTTGAACAAATCTCAAAGAAGGTTGATTTAAACCTCCTCATCAACAATGTCCTCAGCGAGGCTAAAAATAGGGAGAAAACTCATTAGTCGACATATTCGAAAACCGGGTGGTGTGGGGAATCCTTACTACTCTTCCTCGCCCTCGGAGACGGAGGCCTCCTGGTACTGCTGGTACTCGGAGACAAGATCGTTCATGTTGCTCTCGGCCTCAGTGAACTCCATCTCGTCCATACCCTCACCAGTGTACCAGTGCAAGAAAGCCTTGCGACGGAACATGGCAGTGAACTGGTCGCCGACACGCTTGAAGAGCTCCTGGATGGAGGTGGAGTTACCAACGAAGGTGGAAGACATCTTGAGGCCACGGGGGGGAACGGAGCACAGAGCGGTCTGGACGTTGTTGGGGATCCACTCAACGAAGTAGCTCTGGTTCTTGTTCTGGATGTTGCGCATCTGGTCCTCAACCTCCTTCATGGAGATCTTACCGCGGAACAAAGCGGAGCAAGTGAGGTAGCGGCCGTTACGGAAGTCGGAAGCAGCCATCATGTTCTTGGGGTCGAACATCTGCTGGGTCAACTCGGGGACGTTGACCTGGCGGTAAGAGGAGCCGCCACGGCTGGTCAGGGGAGCGAAGCCGACCATGAAGAAGTGCAGACGGGGGAAGGGAACCATGTTGACGGCGAGCTTGCGGAGATCGGAGTTGAGCTGACCGGGGAAACGGAGAGAGGTGGTCACACCGGACATGACGGCGGAGACAAGGTGGTTCAGGTCACCGTAGGAGGGCTGGGAGAGCTTGAGGGTACGCATGCAGATATCGTAGAGAGCCTAAGATTGTCAGTATTCTTCATGTCAGTCTTTTCCTCACGCGTTTCATACCTCGTTATCGATACAGAAAGTCTCGTCGGAGTGCTCAACAAGCTGGTGAACGGAGAGAGTGGCGTTGTAAGGCTCAACAACGGTGTCGGAGACCTTGGGGGAGGGGACGACGGAGAAAGTGGCCATCATACGGTCGGGGAACTCCTCACGGATCTTGGAGATCAAGAGTGTACCCATACCGGCACCGGTACCACCACCCAGGGAGTGGGTGATCTGGAAACCCTGGAGGCAGTCACAGCCCTCGGCCTCACGGCGGACGACATCGAGGACCTGGTCAACAAGCTCAGCACCCTCGGTGTAGTGACCCTTAGCCCAGTTGTTACCAGCACCGGACTGACCGAAGACGAAGTTGTCGGGGCGGAAAAGCTTGCCGAAGGGACCGGAGCGGACAGCGTCCATGGTACCGGGCTCCAAATCGACGAGAACGGCACGGGGAACGTACTTGTCACCGCTGGCCTAGATTATCAAAGAAAAAGATCCGATCAGATGATGCACGATTATTCGGTAAACAGTCGGTGTACTCACATGGTTGAAGTAGACGTTCATACGCTCGAGCTGGAGGTCGGAGGTACCATTGTACCTAGCAAGATATCAGACGTGTGATCTACTAGAAACCCATCACCGTTGAACTTACTGTCCATCACCATCGAGACCGTGCTCGCCAGAGATGGTTTGCCTGCAATCCAGTTAGTAAATTGTCAATTGATACCCAACGCGAAAAAAAAGCTCGGCACTTACCAGAAAGCGGCACCAATTTGGTTACCCTATAACCCAATTCCAATTTAGTCCCACGAATCCAAGAATGCTTCCAAGAATGTTCCATGTCGAACTTACACACTGGCCGGTTTGGAGGTGAACCTAGATCATGTTAGCAAAAGATCTGTTGGGAGTGGGGTCATGGCTCAGGGGCCGTTTGAAAACAAAAGACGCGTCTGGAGGGGATAACGTACAATCTCACGCATTTTGAAGGGATTAGAAAAGAGATGAAGAAAAAAAAGGAGAACCGGTGACAAGTCAGGGAGGATGGGGAAGAAGAGAAAGCAAGATGGCCAGTTGAGCGGTGTGTGTGGGATCAACAAGTCAACAACTGAACTTCAGGGGGGGAGGCCCAATTGGGTATAGCCGCATCACGGGACTCGGGGAGGTGCGAACCACATTTTGCGTATCTTTGGGGCGCGTGATATCGTACCATCTACTCCGTACTACATACTATAACTACAATAACTACAATAACCAAACAACTATAATTAACTACTACTTGAACAAGAATGTTTTAATCGTTTCAATTGGAAAGAAAAAAAATCTTGGACTAATCGTACATATTGGGTATCGGTTCAATTGGGCGCTTTCCACTCACATTGGAAGTACTCGCTTGCCCTCAGTAGCTCTCTCCGTCTGGGATTCATTCAATTGGGCGCTTTCCACTCACATTGGATGTACTCACTTGCCCTTGAATAGCTCTCATCGGTTGTTTTTCAGTCGGGTGTCGCTTTCCACTCACATTGGAAGTACTCACTTGCCCTTCAGTAGCTCTCGCGGCATGGAATTCGCTCAGTTGGGACTCAGTACATAGTTCCCACCGTTTTGGGTATGTAGGTTCGATGGGTTGCTCTCGCCGTTTTCGGTTCCTTCACTTGGGGTCTCGGCGTTTGCTGTTCAGCTGGACTAGTTCTTGCCAGTTTCCTGGCTGTTGTCGGTCTTGTCGGTGTCGGTCTTGTCGGTGTCGGTCTTTTCATTGGCGGCTTCCTGGTTCTTGTCGGTCTTCTGGTTTCCGCCGCTTTCCAGCCAATCTCCGTACCGCTCAAGGCGCTCGTTCTCTTCGTCATCTGCATCCAGAGGGTTCACCTTTTTGCCTGCCGCGTCTCGTTGGGGGTGGTACTTGTTGAACTTCTCCTTCCCATCCCAGATGTAAGCAACAACAGTATTGCCTGCAAAGAAGCGGCCACTCATGGTCTAAAATATGGTAAGTACTTATCATGACGTTAAGTCAAACCGAGGTGCTTACCTGAACACAGCGACGTGCGTCGGCTGACGCGATAAATCGGACAGTAACAACACCATCAGCCTCTCCGTCCCAAACCACCACTTTGGTCACTTCGCCAATCTTAGAGCACTCGCTGCGGATGTCATCTTGAATCTCAATACTGGCGAGCGGATCGTCCTGTAATTATACGTCAGCCGTGTGTCCATATTTGTCCAAGGCAACCTTGGAAGAGGCAGGGTGTGTCAAACCTCCAGCTCCTTCAGGGTAAACATGTGTTTCAAAATCACATGTCGCTTGGCCTCCTCAGCAGCCTTTATCGCCTCCAAGGCCTGCTCAGCTTCATCGTCACCCCAGTCGGAAAGTTTCCTATCACAGTCAAGTCAGCATGAAACGCTCTACCGCCATGATCAACCAACATACTTGTTCAATCGCTCTGCCCGCTCCTTGAGCTTCTTCTTTTCCTTCATTGTCATGGTAACCTTCGGCTGCACATCCTGTTCACGCTTGTACGAAAAGTCGGCTGCCTGAACACGCATCGGTCCAGCTGGGTTGCGGGAACCCATTCGGAAGTCCGTCTCGTCGAGAACGTCAATCGCGAGGCTGACTGAGTCCGGTCGGAAGTACACGACCAAAGCCTCGCCATTAAAATTGCCATTTTCGTCGGTGTACATTTTAATTCGGGGCTTTCCGGTGTCCAGTTCCTCCGCGAGGATTCCATATTTCGAGAACACGTCATGAATCTCTGACAGCTCAGCGTCACCGGGGATCTTGGTAACCCACACAGCAGTGTTGACACGGGGCTTCTTAACCTTAGGCTCGGCGGTCTAAAAGGCAAAAGAAGAGAAGACAGTCAGCTACCAATGTCATCAAGCTGCCATAAATGACCAGAGCACTTACCTCGTCATGCGAGCTCTTGCGCTTCTTGCGATCGCGTGGATGGACAATCTCAGTCTCGTCGTCGTCGGAGCCGTACCCTTGCTGCTTGCGGATGAGCGCCTCGTCGATCTAGAGTTGCAAGTCAGGTTAGCACGGGGGATTGTCGGCCTGCACGTTGTGGACAGCGCATCGCAAAGCGTTAGCGTGCCAATATGCGTGTTACATACCGTTTCAACCCATCTCTTCAGGATACTGTTGAACAGGAACTCGCGACCGTCGCTTGTCTCGAGTAGGAAGCTGTTATCCAGCCGCGAGAACGAGATGCGCGGGTCGCTATCAAACTCCGCCACATCGGTCGGGAAGTCCATTTTCACAAAAACAGCCGTCGGCAAGCTAATTCAAAGATGGATCAGATGAATGAGAGTATGAGACAGTGTGTGCAGAGTACTGTGGAGACTGTGGAGGGTTTGCGATGATTGGGACACAGGCGGCACCGTGATCTCTCGGCGCGGCGTTCCGGAAGGTGCTCGCTCGTGGGTGGATCCCGCATTCCAAGTTCCCAAGGATTCTAATGTTCCAACAAGGTTATATTGGCTTACTTGCTCACAGCAATTCCTTAATTTGCCTCAGTTCGCCTGCAAGATTGTTCATTTTGTACTACTATGCACGGAGTCCCTTGTGAAGAATTGTCTAAGGAGTACGGAGTATGCTCTACTAACTTGGTCCTTTCTCAGAATGGTTTCATAAAATTGTTATTTGGGTATCTGAAACTAAGCTAACAAAGTGAAAATTGGACGATCCGGAGAGCATCTCAGATATCTACAGTTCCATACTATACATGTAGGTAT